GTCTTCGAGGAATCGGGGAAGTGACTTCTTGCCCTCGTCGGAAGCCGGAGAAAGGCCCGCGGAAGCCAGCGAAAGTAAAACGAAAGTGATTTCAACTGTGAAATCCAGCGAAAAGTTGGCGGTCGTTGGCGAAAGTAAAACATGCATTAGCGCACAAATGGTTTTTGGAGCCGGCCCTCTGCGATGCTGTTCGCTTGGGGGATGCTTGCGCTGGACCCCCCCGGGGGGATGCTAAAGAGGGTTCGAGCAATTACGATTGCCACACACGAGTAAGTCCCACACGCGACACAAGTGGGTGAGCCCAGAGAGCGGGAGCCACGTCGGGACTCCTTTTAAGGGAAATCAGCCCACAAATCTCGCGACCATGGAGGAGGCGGAGGAGGAGGAGCACGACGAGCAAGAGATGGCATGTTGCCGTACTTGGGGGTCTCTTGAGTGCCCCTTGGGGCTTCCTGGGGGCCTCTTGGGGGCCTGAGCCTCTTGGGGGCCTCTTGAGACTTTGGGGGCCTCTTGGGGGCCTCTTGGGGGCTTCTGGGGCTGTCTTCAGGCGCGGGAGGCTGTCTAGGGGGGGCATCTACGGGCCGACTTGAGACGCTCTGGCGCTGTCTTGATGGTCTCTCAGGCCGATTCGGGGCGCTCTTGGGGCCGTCTTGGGGCCCTCTTAAACTCCTCTTGAAGCTCTCGTGTGCCATCTCGAGGCCTCACAGGCCCATCGGAGGTGGTCAGGCGAGAAGGCAGAAAATGATGTGCTGCAGGTTTTTGAAGGACTTGGGCCTCTCGGGTGCCTCCTTGGGAGGCTTCGTGGCCACTTGGGGCCATGGTTGAGCGGTCTTGGAGGTTATTGAAAGAACATTGGCAGCTATCCTGACACATGTTCGGCTATCCTGTGTCATATTGGAGGCAATATTGTGGCATCTTGGCCCATCTTGGAGCCATATCGAGGCTTTCTTGGGCCCCGTCGGGAGCAGATTGGAGCCAGAAAGGGCCGCCAAACTTGAGAGGCAGGTCCGGTTTGTGGGGATGCGCGAGCCCGCCCACCCTTCAAGACGAGCTAGCTCTTCAGTTCGCAAAAAGTTAATCAATTACCTCTCAAAGGTCCTACGCGGGACAGGGCCCGCGGCCGCTGTGTTCTAGACGTTTCGCGTGTCCCCATCCCCCATGCATCGACCAGTAGCTCGTCCATATTCTGCGTGGTCCAACGCACACTAGCCTTGCCTGGTGTTGTGTGATCTCGTCTAGTCGCTTTCGGGCTAACATGGTGTGGTCGGGCGTGGTATCGTTTGTGCAAATATGGTCCTCTCTGTCTTGTTCGGCACGAGACATCATTGCATATGATTGCCAAGCCGGCCATCCAGAAAGGTGCGGTCATTCAAGTGGCCCTTTTTCCCCTCTCCGCATCGGTATCATCACCCTTGCGATCGTATTAGTCATCAGTCTCGGTGGTCCCGCCTTCAAAGCATTCATTGACATACTGTATCTTGACCTCCTCGTTCCTCTTCCTCCACCTCCGTCCCCTCCTGCGCGTCCTGCTCGTTGATGCATCATGTCTGTCACCTATGCACTGGCAGTCAGCAGGAGACACCCCTGCAGACACGCATGGGTCACTACTGGGGTGTTCGGCCTCTTTTGACATGCAGTGTTTCAGCCTGGTCTGTCTGCGAGAGCTCACGTCTGGCCTTGTCGGCTCTTGTGGTCTGGCCTGGTTCAGATGAGAACGTGCAGTATAGATCGGCGCTGCTTTATATGACACGGTCTTGTCCGACGTGATTCAGGAGAGGAGAAAACACAGACACAATGAGTCGTCGATTCCCCAGAAAATGTAGCAAAATATGGGAAGTATGGGGGGAGACAAAAAAGCCAGAAAATATCAGAAAAATATTGAGAATCCTGTTATTTTGTGTCTATTTATTTGTGTGTCCCAGGGCCCCTTCAACGGTCTTGTCCGACGTGATTGCGTTCTGAGGGCAGAACGCGGGGAGGAGCCCGAGGAGCGGGAGACAGAGCCAAGCCATGACGAGAGTGGTGTGGCGCATCTCTCGATAGGCTCTCGTCAGCCTCTGGGGGCCTCATCGGCCGGTTCTTTCCGGGGCTTCTCGTAGATGTGGATTCTTCTCGGGAGCACCTGGAGAGCGCTGGGCTCGCCTCCTGGCAGCCTGCCACGGGGTTTCTGGACAGCCAGCCATCGGAACCTCTGCAGGGGGGACACGGGGAGGGCAGAGTGGCAAGAGGAGGCGGCCCTCGTGGGCGCCAAAAGGGCCGAGAGCACCACAGCGCCCCGGCGCCATCGGACGTACAAGCGAACAACAACAACAACAACAACAAAAATTGGGGAGCCAGAGACCCGCCGAGGGTGGAACCATGGGGAGGGGAGTGGGGAGGGACTGCAAGGATTGCCGAGGAGAGTTCAGGGGACTACTTCAGGCCGCTGGTCGCCCAGCGGGCTGGTGGGATTCAGCTTTGGACTGTGCGCCTCGCAGCGTGCCTTCCTTCCGCGAATGTCGCTCGGACCTCGCCACATTGACTCGCCGAGATCTCTGCCATAGGCGCAGTCTCTCGAAAATTGGTACGGGACCTGGCGATGACCAAGTACCAGCCATAACCCATGCGTCCGAAGAAGAGCTTACATCATATCATAGTGTCCGATAGCGATGCTAACCCGCAGCCTCAGCATAGCATGCCAACGCGTAGCACAGTACAAAACACAAGATCCCCATTGAGGTACGTACAGCATTCCAGAACACTGCGAACCATCCCATGGCAAACCGTACGACTTCATGGCCCATACGTATCAAGCACTGCATGTCTTGTCATTGAAAGGAGCCCCCATGGACTTCAGCCCATGAGCTAGCCTTAAGTAAGCTACAGTGCTGGGATCAGCGCGTGCGAAAAAGAGCAGCAGTGGCGGCAAGCTTTGTCGCTGCTCAGCAGGATGCGGAAGGAGACAGTAGAGCCCAACATCGTCAGCTATAGTGCAGGAGCCAGCGCGTGTGAGAAGGGCGGGCAGTGGCAGCATGCCCTATCGCTGCTCAGCGAGATACGGGAGGCGAAGTTGGAGCCCGACGTCATCTTCTTTACAATGCCAGGACCTCTGCGTGCGAGAAGGGATTGTGCATCAATCGAGTTGTTCGAGCTACGCGAGGCCCCGGGAGGCCGAAAAGCGCCCCCCCCGGGGTAGTTCGACAGCCCTGCGAGCCTCGGGCAGCGCCCCCTTTATACGGCCCAACAGAGTCCAAAGACGGCCGAGGCGGAGCCCAGGACGGCCCAGGAGCCAAGACGGCTCAGGAGTGCTCCAAGACGGCTTCCTGAGCAGCCCAAAACGGCCCAAGAGAGACCCAAAACGGCGCGAGAGAGCCCCCACCCAGACAGGCCCCAAGCGCCACACAAGAGGGCTCACAGAGAGCTCCGAACGGCCCAGCACCCCCAATATGGCCCCTACACAGCCCCAGAGACCGTCCAGACGGGCCGCGGCAAACGAAAACATTGATTTTCCTATTTGTTTTAAAGATTTCCACCCTCCCGCCATTTCGAGCCAAGAGCGGCCCAAGACGGCTGCTGGGGCTCCCCGGAACGTTCCGAGGCCGTCCAAGAGGATCCGGAAAAGGTCCCACAACCACCTAGGAGGACTCCAAGATGGCCCAGGAGGCATCCAAGATGGCCCAAGAGGCCCCAAGAGGCCCCAAGACGGCCCGAGAGCCACCCGAGACAGTCTCAAGACGGCCCACGAGGCGCCAGGCGGCCGCAGAGGCCCTTGGGAGGCCGAAAAGACCCCCAAGAGGCCCCCGAACGGCTTGCAGGAGGCCCCCAGACGAGGCTCGAAAGTTGCTCTCAAGACACGGGCAGCGGACGAGAGGCGAAAGGCTTATCGCAAGCCCGAAGGAATTGTTTTGTACGCTCCGAGGGCCCTGGCAAACAGGAGCGACTCGCAGGACCTGCAAGCAAACATCAAGCAAGCATCACGCAAACGGCAAGACGGTGCAGGCTAAGCTAATCACGCGCGCAATGGCAATGAATTGGCAGCAAGCAACCGAGCGCAACAAGCGACAGCAGACACACGCTGACATTCATGCCTTCGTGGGCATAGCCTACGGGTCAGCACCCGAAATGTTGCAGCCCTCTACGATTGCCCCAAGACGCCCCAGAAGGCTTTCAAGACGGCCCCGAGACGCCCCAAGCTGGCCACAGGACGGTCCCAGCGAAGCCCAGACGGTCCAAGAGAACCCCAAGAGCCCGATGAGTGGCCCAAGGGGCCCAAGAGTGCCCCTAGACTGACCGAGAGGCGCCCGAGACATCGCCAATACAGCCCAAGAGACCCTCGAGAGGCAAATAGAAGCCCCCAGAGGCCCTGGATGATTGTGCTCTAAGAAGCGCCGTAGGAACGACGATCGGCACGATGGAACATCGAGGAGGAGAAGGGTGGAGGGACGTAGAAAAAGGAGAAGGATCCAACCCAGCAGCAGGAAGCAGAAGCAACGGCAAGCAGCAGCTGCAGCAGCACGCGTTGACATCACCAGTACCAAACAGCATCCTGCAGCAAGCAGCAGCACGCAGACGGCAACATCCACCACCAGGCAAAAGCTAGCACATGCACCAGTCCGTAGCAAGCCGTTGCCGCGGGCGGCAGCAGAAGAAAGATCTAACGAAAGACCGCAAGTTTACCAGCCTGGAACATATCCCTATCCCTAAGCTGGGCATCGCCTCATCACGATGCCAATCTTAGGGATTCCCTTGATTGATAAGGGCGCATCCCTAACATTGTCATCGCCTTTGGGCGTGTCAATCTCAGAGATAAGGATAAGTTCGAGGCTGGTGACAAGTGGCAACAAGCAGCACTCAGCAACAGCCAGCGGCTGTAAAAAGGCACCAGGCGGGTGCAAGCACGCTTGCCCGGACACCGCGTGCCACCCCGAGCAGATGTCGTGGACGCAGTCCACGGGTCAGCCCCAGTCAGCTACAGCGCCGGGGTCAGCGCGTGCGAGAAGGGCGGACAGTGGCAGCAGGCAATGTTGTTGATCCTCGAGATGTGTGAGGCGAACTTGGAGCCCAACGTGATCTGCTCTGCCCTTGGCTGCCTCGATACGCACGTTCCGATACGCAACACGCGCCGTGCTCAAAGCGTCCGTTTCAGTACGCTGCGTGTTGAGTTGGCCAAACGTATTGGCCCGCGTTTCGGCAAACGGATCGCGTCAGGCCCACGTTTTCAGGACACGTGTTGAGCTCCGTAGCAATACGCTACAGTCGGGGCGTTGACCTCAGGAACCCCAAATGAGGAACGAGGCCCCTGTTTTTCCATAAGTTAAACTTCGATTCCCCATCGAAAACCTAAGGACAACTTGAGGCAAACTGCGAAACAATTAGGGAACTCGGAGCGCCTCCCCAACGAAAAGGGTTCCTTGTTCAGCGCCCCGACTGTACGTGTTGCGTGCCGCGCATCGGGGCAGCTAAGACTCTGCCACGCCGGGGGACGCGCGTGCCACAAGGAAAGGGTTTGGGAGGAGGGAGGAGGGAGCAGGGAGGAGGGAGGAGAGAGGAGGGAGGAGGGAGGAGGGAGGAGGGAGGAGGAGGAGGGTCCAGGGGCTCGCAGCCGGAGCCTCGCAGCGGGCCGGCCGGCGTGCTCCAGCCCAGACAAAAATCTCCCTCCTCCTCCTCCTCCTCCTCTCCTCCTCCTCCCTCCTCCTCCTCCTCCTCCTCCTCCTCTCCTCTCCTCTCCTCCTCCTCCTCTCTCTCCTCCTCCTCCCCTCCTCCTCCTCCTCCTCCTCCTCCTCCTCCTCCCCCTCGCTCCTCTTGACCTCGCCCCCTCCTTCCCAATCCTCGGTCCGTGCTCCTCGCTCCTCACTGCTCCTTCTCCTCCTCGTCCTCCTCTTCTTTCTCCTCTTCCCTGTCCTGAGACGGTCCAAGGTGGCCCGAGACGCCTCCAAACGGTCCAGGAGGTCGCCAGTATGGCTTTCAGACGGCCCCACAGGGCCGCAAGACGGCCCAGGAGGGCTCCAAGGGCCCCCCGAGAGGCCAGAATCATGGATTTCCCGTCGGTGTTTGAAGGATTTCAGCGTTCTCGCAGTTTCGAATTCTCGACGCTGCGAGACGGCTCCAGAGGCCCTCAAGATGGCCCCAGGACGGCCCAAGAGGCCCGAAGAGGGCCACCAGACGGCCCAGGAGAGCCCCAAGACGGTCCAAGAGGCCCCGAAGACGGCTCAAGACGGCCCCAAGACTGGGAACTCGAACTGACAGTTCGCGCTTTCCGCTCCAGGATGATCCCAGAGACCGCTGGCAGGCCCCCAAGAGGCCCCCCAGAAGCCCCAGGAGGCCCCCGAGAGGCCACAAGACCACCCTCAAATCCTCCTCCAAGAAGCTTCCGAGGAAAGATTCCTCAGAGAGCTCTGGGACCGCGCTGGCCACCCAGGAAAATAAGGCACCCATGCGATTCGTATTGGCTCCCCTTCTTTGGGCAGGCTCCGGTCTGAATTGGCGACTCGTCGGGAAGTTTTTCGCGAGAGTGCTCCAGACAGGCCAGCCAGTGGAGGCCTGCTCCGCAGTGCCTTCGATCTCCTCCCGAGCCCGCGCAGCCCGCGCGCAGCCTCCGACCTCCTCGGGCGACCACAGCCACCATGGAACGTCGTTGGAAAAGAAGGCGCCATGTTGCATCATACTTTTCAGCCTCGGCCCCGATACAGACTCTAGGTGGCTCGAGATCATCCTGGGGCGGCCCATTTTGACTCAGACTTGGTCTGTGTCAGGGAGCCAGCATCCCCCTCCGCTGCTGGCTCTGGCCCTCGATTGCTCCGAGGATGTGGAGGTGTGACGTGGATGTCTATCTGGGGCGGCCCAAGACGCCCCCTGTTACCCGAATGGCAGCAGCACGAAACACGAAGCAGCCAGCAGCAGCAGGTAGCGGTCAGCAGCACGCACCAAGCAGACGTGGCCATCGGCAGCACCTTGCTGCTCCCCGCATGGTCCAATAGTAGATTTCTCGCCGCCGGCCGTCTTAGGCGCTCGCCGTCTTCCGATAGCTTTTCGCCGGCGCCCCGTGGAAGCCCCCTGGAGCCCCCCTGAGGCCCCCCCCCAAAAAAAAACAAAAAAAAACCTTGCAGCCACAAGCAACAGCTACGCGCGGGGCAGCGTCAAGCATTACCAACAACAGGCAACAGCGGTAGCAAGCAGCAGCACGCAGCAGCAAGCGCCGAGTGCAAGGGGCGAGCCCCTTGTGTAATTTCAGCGTTTCGGCAGCACGTTCACAATCACGTGCCAGTTCGTGCAGATTTCGTGGACGGAGTCCACGAGTCAGCCCTAGTCACCTACAACGCTGGTATAAGCGCGTGCGAAAAGGGTGAACAGTGGCAGCAGGCTCTATCGCTGCTTAGCGTTATGTCTGAGGCAAAGGTTGCGCCCACTGTCATCAGCTACAGCGCTGGGATAAGCGCGTGCGCGATGAGCTCCAGGTGGCAACAAGCTCTGTCATTGCACAGGGGGATGCGTGATGCGAAGTTAGAGCCAAATGTAATCAGCTACAGCGCCACGATCAGCGCGTGCCAAACAGGGGAGCAGGCTCTGTCGCTGATTAGCGAAATGTCGAAAGCGAATTTGGATCTTGACGTTATCTGCTACAGCGCTGGGATCAGCGCGTGCGAGAAAGGTGGGCAGTGGCAGCAGGCTCTGTCACTGCTCATCGAGATGCGGGATGCGAAGGTGGTGCCCAATGTCATCAGCTATAGTGCTGTGATCGTCGCGTGCGAGAACAGGAAGCAGTGGCAGCTGGCCCTCTCGTTGTTCCACGAGATGCGGGACGCGAACTTGGACCCCGACATCGTCAGCTACAGCGTTGGGATCAGCGCGTGTGAGACGCTCGGGAAATGGCAGCAGGCCCTGTTGCTGTTGAACGACATGTGGAGGATGTGGGAGGCGAAGTTGATGCCAGACGTCATCACCCCTAACAGTGGGACTGGCGCGTGCAAGATGGGGGGTGGTGGGAGTGTCGTTCCATGTTTCGAGCACCAACGCCAGAGCGTTGACCCAAGGGCTTGAGTTTTTATTGACCCCATGGCCAGAACACACGAGTCTCCTGTCCACCCTCCCTCTCTTCTAATCCTCCCTTATCCCCGCCTCCTCCTCCTCCTCCTCCTCCTCCTCCTCCTCCTCCTCCTCCTCCTCTTGCTCCTCTTGCTCCTCTTCCGCCCTCGCTGGTCCCTCTGTTTACTCTTCCTTCTCCGCCACTACCTCAACTTCATTATTGGTGCCGCGTGTATTCACATGTTTCCCATCTGAAGCATGTATTAGACCGCTGTCCATCATGATTCGCTTCTTGCTCCCCTCAACATATGTTTGCTCCTCCACGCATACCGGTAGAAACATGTTTGCTGTGCGTGCGTGTTCTTATTAGTCACGTCCATTATTATGGCAATCCCCCTCCTCCGCCAACTCGTCATTGAAAATCATCACATCCTCTAGCCTTATGAGCCTATTATCCCGCTTCTCTGCTCCGTCCAATTTTGCTGGTCACACTCATGGTGCCATTCATTTTCTGATATTTCGACTTTTCGCTGCCCCCCACCGTCCTTGACGACGCATGCTCAGGACATCGGAGCGGAGGCGGAGATCCGAAATGCTGGGAACAAGATGACCGGCATAGGGGTCTGCATGGTGACCCAGCGCGTCCAGGGGTCATGTTTCATCATTGTGATGGTGTTGTTGGCACCACCAGTTCTGTTGAGCTCACGCCGCCTACTGCTTACCCAAGCCGACAGAAAAGGATGCAGTTCCATCCGCACAACATCAATTTCCCCTCGTACTTCTGCTCTCTTTCTTCCTCCACCTCCCTCCTCACCCCCCGACGGAGGATTGCACAGGCCATCTTTGAGACCCTCCCTCCATCGAAACCGCCTGACAGCCCATGTACCCACCACCTGAAATAAAGTTATTCAGGAGGGAAAAACCACAGACACAATCAACCGTCGATCCCCAGGAAAATATAGGAAAATATCGGAAGTGCTGGGGAAGACAGAAACCCAGAAAATATTGGAAAATATTGGGAATCCTGTTATTTGTGTGTGTAGTTATTTCTGTGTCCCAGGGCCCCTTCAGTCGTTTCTGGGCGGCAGTCAGCCCAGGGGATCGGGATGCCAAGTTCAAGAAGTGCCCTGGACAGAGCGACCCACGACAAGCCAGCGAGTCTTCGTTGTGTAGTATGTCGGATGGCGTTTGGTCTGAGCCGTGCGGAGGGACATGCCACACTGTTCGCATGCTTCGCATATGGCAGATATTTCAAACATTTGTGATCCAAACCGTACGCTGAGCTTGCCGAGGATATAACTGAACGCCTGCGCGTGCGTGAGTTCATCGCATCTCAGTCTGCAACACAACAACCCGTCTTTGGAGTGGGCTTGCGCCGGCTTCCTGGTCGGGAGGCATTGGCCCGGCGGCCATTGTTATGATTATGAATTCGATTGGGTAATTGGTGGCCATTCCATGGCCTTCCCTTCCCAGCTTTTCATTCAACAGCCCTATGTTGTATATAACACAAGTTCTGCCAAATTGCAACTACGGTTCCTCGATGCTTCTGAAACTGCAGTGTCGTCGCCTGTACCTGTACCTTCGTTTGCCTTGCCCTCTTTCAAGCCCTTGTCCGTGTTCATCCATGGCGCATCATGCAGTAGCGTGCGTCCTGATGTGTTGTATATTGCGAAGGCCTTACGGCCGGTGCCGCCGACCCTAGAGGGCGACCTATGCGTTCTCTAATGTGGCGGGGGGGGCCTCTTGGGGGTATCTTTGGGTCTCGTGTGGGGGGGGGGGGTCGTGTTGGGGCCGTTGTTGGCAATCGTGAGGCTTTCTCGGGAGCGTCTTTGGCCGACGACGACGACGTTGACGGCGGTGGCGATCTGGAGCTATTCTCAAGGGTCTCTCGGGGACTCTCTGGGGCTCTCTCGGGGACTCTCTCGGGGCCTTCTTGGGCCAGTTTGGGGCTTTTTCGTGGGTCTTTTCGACCTATTGGGGGGGGGGTCTTGGGAGCCTTTGGGGTTGCTTTGGAGTGTTCTTGGGCTCGGCACTCCGGGGGCAGCTACCTTGCCCCGCGCTTTTCAGTAGCTACGTTGCGGTTAAAGGGTGAGCCAACCGAGCCTCAGCTCATGCCGGATGAGCACGCGAAGCTCCTGTGGGCCTCTTGGGGCTTCCTGGGGGCCTCTTGGGGGTCTCGTGGTGGCCTCTTGGGGGCATCTTGGGGCTTCCTGGGAGCCTCTGTCGCCAAGGGCTCGTCGGGCCCCCCGTCTGGGCACCCTGTTGGAGCCGTTTGGGGAGCCTCTGGGGCCATCTTGGAGGCATCTTGGGCGGTCTTGAGGCTCTCTTGGGTCATTTTGGGGCTCTCTTGAGGCCTCTTGGGCTATCTTGGGGCAATCTTGGGGGCATCTGGGGCCGTCTTGGAGCGTCGGCAAGTTGAAACGGCGAGAACGCCAAAATCTGTCAAAAACTTTAAGGAAATCATTGATTTTTCCCTCTTCGTGCCCTCTTGGGAGTGCTCTTGGAGACTTCTTGGAGCGTCTTGGCAATCTCTTGGGCCGTCTGGAGGCTACTTTGGCGTCTTCGACCGATGGTTCGGCGATTCGGGGCCCTCTGGAGCCGTCTTGGAAGCCTCTTGGGGCACTCTTGGCCAGTCTGGGGGCTTTTCTAGGTCCCGGGACATCCCGGGGGGGATGCGTATCTGCCCCCCCCCCCCCCCCCGGGACCCCCCCCCCCCCCCCCCGGCGGGGAAGGGATCAAAGGGAAGGGGCTTCCCTTCGACTCAGCTACGACGTTGCTCAATTTCGCTTTGCCTTCGACTCAGCTACGACGTTGCTCGATTTCGCTTTGGTTTCGCTTTGGCTGGCGCGCCTGAGGGGAGACGACGACGACGACGACGACGACGACGACGACGAACGGAAGAGCATCGACGACGACGACGACGACGACGACGACGACGACGACGACGACGACGACGACGACGACGGCGACGACGACGACGACGTCGACGACGGCGGCGACGACGACGACGTTCACGACGAAGGGAAAAGCATCTTCCACACACCGACAGGGTCGGCGGATTTTGATGTGTTGTACTTGCTTACGTGATTCTCACAGCGCAGGTCGTTCAGCATGCAGGTATAAACCGCGTACCTCCATCTAGCCATCGTCATGCTTTGATGCCGTCGGCGAGGTCCTCGCTTGTTGGACCATTCAGCGTCCACGACACCGCCAAATCTGCAGCAGGTTCTCGTGGACGAAGAGAGCACCTCCTCCTCCTCCTCCTCCTCCTCCCTCTCCTCCTCCTCCTCCTTCTCCTCCTCCTCCTCCTCCTCCTCCTCCTCCTCCTCCTCCTCCTCCTTTTCCTCCTCCTCCTCCTCCTCAGCGGTGTGAGATGCGCAGGGCAACGACAGCTAATGACAGGTGCTCGCCACGTGTGCGTGAGGCGCCGGCCTGCGACGAGTGGCCCGACGGGAGTTTCCGTCGTGTCGCAGGGCGCTGCTGGACGCAAGCTCACTGCGCGACGTCTTGTGCAGCCGAAGACGCAGGAGGAGGAGGAGGAGGAGGAGGAGGAGGAGGAGGAAGGAGAGAGGAGGGAGGAGGAGGGAGGAGGGAGGAGGGAGAAGGGAGGAGGGAGGAGAGAGGAGGAAGCACAGCGCCGTAGAAAGAGGGCCGAGCACGATTGCTCCTGGACTGCAGCTGCTGCCGAGTCTCCTCCGCGCACGGGCAGAGCGGTAGCCCAGTGGCCGGCCGTTGCGTGCACCGCAGCACAGTGGGAGCGTGGGAGCAGGAGGACCAGGATCTCGGGACGTTCGTGATACGGGCTTACCCGAAAAAGTGAAGGGAAAGTAGAGCCAGATTGATGTATGCCATCCATGCGGATTGTAGCCAAAGGCATCGTTCGGGATCAGGTGTTACTCGGATCTGGATATGTATGTCTGGGAGGCTGCGCTAATGTTCTGCACGGCCCTGTGCTCGAAAGTCGGAGTCTGTCCATCGTTCGGGCTTCACTGAGTACTCAAAAAGTGATTGGCGCGAGCAACGGAACTGGGCGGCATGCGTTTCTACGACGTGGTGCGACACGGATCACCTTCTCTGACGTCCTTGTGGACTTCTTGACTCAATGCCTTCCCCTGCCTGGTCCATCCGTGATTTGAATGCTGCTCGGATCTGAACTGGTCCTGGAGGCCGCGTTGATGTTTTGTTCAACCCAGGGCTCCAAAATAGGAGTGTGTTTGTTGATTGGACCTGGCAGCGCCACGAGAAAGATTGGCGCTGGCAGCGGGGATGAGCTGGTACCTTTGCGGCAGATCTAGCCAGCTTGTCTGCCCCTCCGCCCGAAATCGCTGTTCCCAGCAGGACTTCTTTAGCAGTGCGCACTGAACCGAGTCATTCCTTTGGGTGGCGCTTCCATCAAGCGAAGACACGCAAGTGGCCGCCAGAAATATCGAGCCGAGAGCGTGGCGTCGACTCCGGGATGCGAGAGGGAAGAGGGCCGTCCATGGAGAGGACGCAGGGAGGCAGGGGAAAGGTGATGACCACGGTTGCCCTCGGCTTCGTCTACTTATCCTTCTGCATTGACCTGAAGGGGTGCCAGGACCCCATTCGTAATTTCATTGTCCAAGTGTGCCCCGTTGACGAAAGCCTCCCCACGAGGCTACCAGAGAGTTTTGGGGTGTGTTCCGTTCATGGGGGATCCACGACGTGAACGTAAGCATGCTTCGCGCAATAATGTTGCTTATCGACGACGCCTACTGCGACTCGAGGCCGCCCCGTGCCTTTAAGAATTGCTTGTGTCGGGAAATGTAGAGCGAAAGTGCGGCCACCCTAGTGGGCCGAGTGTTCCCGGAGCTGTCAGGGGAACTTTTGGGGGGACAATGGGGAGGGGCCGTGTTGGGGCTGTCTTCGGATTCTTTTCTGGCGTTTGGGGCCTTTGGGGGTCCTCTTGGGGCCATCTTGGGGCTCTCTAGGGCCGTCTTAGGGCGCTGTTGGGCCGTCTTTGGGGGCATGTGTTGGCCGGCTTGAGGCTTTTTTTCTGCAGCAATATGTGGGTCATTTTGGGGCTTCTTCCAGCCGTCTTGGGCTGACCTTGGGGTTCTTGAGTCGCGTTGGACCTGGCCCGGCACAGAAACGGAAAGAGCGCTTCAGAAAGAGAAACCGAAATTATTCACACCACCGTTTGTATTGGGAGCCTTGGCGTTGAGAGATTGTTACGTCACCCCTCGCTCGTGGGAGCCTTGGTGTTCAGAGATTGTTGCGTTGCCGCCCGTTCCTGAGCCTTGACTGGGCCTTGGTGTCAGGAACTTATTACGTCACCGCTCTCTGCTGGGAGCCTTGGTCTTATCAGAAAGGAAACGTCACCGTTCGCTCTTGGAAGCCTTGGTGTGAAGAGCTTTTTGCGTTACCGATCGCTCTCTATTTGGCGTCTCTGGGCTTTCTTGGGAGTCCTACTGGGGCCCTTTCGGAGCCCTTTTGGGGGCCTTTTGGGGGCCTCTTGGGGGCGTCTTGGGGCTTCTTGGGGGGCTCTGGGGGCCTCCTGGGAACTTCTTGGGGCGAAAGGCTAGACTTTTCGGTTCGTGGTCCCCCTCTTGGGGCCGTCTTGGGGCCCTCTTGGGCCGTCTTGGGCGCCTCTTGGGCCGTTTTGGGGGCCTCTTGGGAGCCTCTTGGGCCGTCTTGGGGCGGTCTTGGGTGCCTCGTGGACCGTCTTCAACGCCATGAACGCCGAAAAGCCGTGCACGGTAAAAATGCACTATACCCCATAGGAATTTAATACTATTAGCCTCCTGGGATGCCTCTTGGGGGCCTCTTGGGGCTTCTTGGGGGGCCCTTGGGGCCTCCTGAGAGCGTCCTCGGGCGAAAAGCTAGACTTTTCGGTTCGTGGTCCCCCTCTTGGGGCCGTCTTGGGGCCCTCTGGGGCCGTCTTGGGCGCATCATTGGGCCGTCTGGGCGCCCTCTTTGGCCGTTTTGGGGGTCTCTTGGGAGCCTCTTGGGCCGTCTTGGAGCGGTATTAAGGACCTCTTGGGCCGTCGTCAACGCCGTGAAAGCCGAAAAGCCATATATGCTAAAAATGCACGTTTCCGAAGGAAAATCAATGATTTTGGTCTCTTGGGGCCCTCTTGGGACGCCCCTTGGACGCCTCTTGGGGGCCTTTTGGGGGCATCTTGGGCCGTGTTGGGCGGTCTTGGGCCCTCTTGGAGCGCTCTTGGGCCGTCTTGGGGGGGAACCCGAAAAACATGCAAAAACCCGAGGGAAAACCCGAAAACTGCCATTAACACGCAAATGGGCCCGCTAGCCCCCTCCCCTGGAACCCCTCCCTTTAGAGCTTCGCCCACACCAGAACGTCATCACTCGTACCTCGCTCTTTCCGTTCTGCTAAATCTCAAACCGAAAAGGATGGGATCCGCAAAACATTGAATTCATTGGTATTCAATACTGCGGGCATATAGGGCGAACCCCTAGGTCCAGCAAGACTGCCCAATAGACCCCCAATCCTCTTGAACCCCACAAGAAACTTCTTAGAGGTAGATTAAGGTCCCTTGGAAGGCTTCCTGGAAGCCTTCTGAGAGACTCGTGGAGGTCTGTTGGCACTTTCCGGGGGCCTTCCGTGAAGCTTTTTGTGGTTTTCTTGGGGCCTTTTGATGCTTCGGAGCCTTCCTGGCGGGGTGGCTTCCAGCGGCCTGGAGGTGGCGCGCTTTTTGGGCGCCTTGATTGTTTCGGACGCCTCGACTGTCTTGAGGGCCGTCCTGGTGGCCCCCTTGACTGGCTTGGACGCGTCCCGAAGGGCCGAGCATGTCAAAACCATGCCAGACCACGTCGCTCTTCAATGGCTGTGGGCCTCCTCGGGCTGCCACCGGGGGCCTCGAAGACGGGCCAAGGGACCCCCCAAAACGGCTCCAGCACGGACCCGTGGGACCATCTTACATCATTTTGGAAGTCGGGGCCCCCAAGGGGGCTTCGAGGGCCTCGGGGAGGCCACGCGGGGTTCCCCGAGAGCGCCCAAGAGCGCCCGAGAGTTGCGGGGAGACCAGACCTGAGCCCCGTGAAGGACATTCAGGAGGTTCAATGTATACGAGCTTGAGTGACTTGAAGGCCGTCCACTGGGTTCTTATGGCACGGTGGCGGAGTCCCGCCTGGGCATTTCGGAATGCTGATGTTGAAGATCTCCCTTGCAGACAGCGCTGGTGGCGTACGTTGCCGAACCTAGGGCGCACAGCCTCTCTTTCGCACGGGGCTACCACGTAGCGCTCTGATTGACGAGCCTCCGCTGGGGTGGGATGAGGGAGGTGCAAGACGGCCGGGCAAGTGGAGAAAGGGAAGGAGCAAGTGGCGAAGCGGTTAGGGTACGCATTTGTGTTTCACAATTGCCCCTTTTACCTCTTGGCGGAGCCAGCGTCTCGTCGATCGTAGTTGGCCAGTCATATCCACATCTGGATGAGTAGTTGGTCGGCCAGGCATCGCATGTTTTGCGTAACGCTACAATTCGGATGAATCGGCACTACGTGCAAGTGGATCTGACTTTATCCTATGTGTAATCATTTTGGCCTGGGGCTCGGGTCTCAGTAGAGCCTGCCAAGCCAACGTCTGCTCAGTTATGTTTCGGGGGCAGCGTGAGCCCACGGGAGCCCTTCTGGACAGTCGGCGATCTTGGAGTGTTTGACGGAGCGTTTTTCCCCAAATCCGCAACAAGTTGTCGCGGTCATGTTTGTAGTCTGTGCGCCAATGTTGAGGAGGGGAGGAGGGGAAGGAAAGAAGACGAGGTTCAGGGAATTCAGAACCGTTGCATGTTCAAAGTAGGCAAATCGTGGGTGGGTCATTCAAATACTTGCGGGTTCAAACGGCAATTTCTGGATAAGGTCGCGCGTTGTTTGATGAGTGTTTACTGGATTCCCTTGTAACTGGCGGGGCATGGCCCATGAACACGGGCGAGGAGGAGAAGGAGGAGGAGGGGGAGGAGCCTGTGAGATGAGATGAGCTGATCTAGGTTTACCTAAGTCAGGGGAGGAGTCGCGTAGCAGTAGCTGAGAGGACAGGGCAAGTGGATACCTTTATTCGCGCATCGCTCATCACTTGGCGGAGGACGCCCACGAGCCTGCTCCGATGAACGCGTGGTGTCTGCTGAAAGCCACATCGTGCTTGGCCCTGCTTCGAGATTCGCGCGACGCCCTGGTCGGCGGCGAGCCATGAGCTGGGCGGAGCACGCATTACATCCCGTCGATCAGCATGTCATGGACGCTTGCCCCCTGGCCATGTCATCCTGTCCCTTCCCCCTCGTCCCTCGTCCATCAGTCCCCCCTCTTCATCCCTCCTTTTTCCTGCTCCTGCTCCTCCCCCATCCCTCGACGTATGGGTCCAGGAGCTCCCCAGAAGTCCCCAGAGGTTCCCTCAGGCCTCTTGATGCATCCGGAGGCCTCCAGAGGGCGGACAATAAAAAGAACGAACTTCAATCTTCGAACCTCAGGGATCGTTGTCGTGGGGGGCACCGCAAGGTCTCTTTCGGAGTGGACCTGCACGACGACTACCTGTACCTCGCGCTGGCACACCTCGCCCTCGGAGTCGTGGTGGCAGTGGGAGTCCTGTCCATGCGGCTCACGTTCTCGCCACCAATCCCACAGCTGCAACAGAAGAGGGAGGGGGCAGGGGACCAGGAAGTACAGCTGGCACGAGGGTTGAGAACAACCCTGGTCTTGGAGGGGTACCCCTGATGCTCTTCGAGCCTGGGCCCTGCACACATTGGAAAGCCCTTCGTCTGTGGTTTCTCCGTGGGGCGTTGGGCCTTTGGCCCAGGGGCTCATGTTCTTGGTCCACGTCCATGCCGCCACATCGCGATTGTAGAGGAGGGACATAGGCAAGGCGAGGGTCCCGCGAGGCGGACGGGCGGATGGCGGCGGCGGCTGCGGGCGGTGCGGCGGCGGCGGGCGGCGCCGCCGTGGACAGACGGACCTTTCTCCGTTTCCCCGCCCGCTGCCCTATTTTTCAGCCCGCGGGCGCCGGGTGGTCCAAGACGGGCAGGCGCCGGTCACCAGGCGGTGGTGTGCACGGGAAGCGAGGTGACGCACGAGAACAGAAGGGCAGAGAGCGCGAGAAGAGACAAGGCGGAGCCCGCTCAGACCACGCCAGTCGGCGCGGGGGTGCCGAAGGAGAACGCAGCCCGCTGCCGTACAGGCGCGGTGCCATGGTAGTAACTGGGCGGGCGTGCCGCAGGAGGAAGGCAGAGGCGGAGGAGGCAGAGGAGGAAGGCGCCCCCTGCCACGCGGAAGCCCTGGCCCAAATCGGTTCACGACCTCACCAGCTCGGGCCGCTCATCTTCAGAGTGGCACGTTCGGCTGGACCCGCACGAATGCCAGCTGTGCAGGAAGTACATGATGAGGAGCAAGACATGACGAAGGGAGCAAGAGGAGGAGCAGAAGGAGGAGGAGTGTGTCCTCCTCCTCCTCCTCCTCCTCCTCCTCCTCCTCCTCCTCCTACTCCTCCTCCTCCTCCTCCTCCTCCTCCTCCTCCTCCTCCTCCTCCTCCGACAAATAATAATAATCATATTCATAATCCACCCTCATCCTTCCTCTCTCCTCGCTGGGCTCCCTCCTCCCGCACGTGACCTCCCTTCTCCACCCCGTCTCAGGACCACCCTGGCCAGTTTTTCGACCGTCCCGCACAGCGGCAGCAGGAGAGGGAGTCGGCGCCCGCCAATCTTCGACGTGCGTGCTGCGCCCTGAGCGTGATGGCCGAAGGAAAGGCAAAGAGAAACGAAGCGGAAACGGAAGAGGGCTTTGTGGGAGTTTTACGCGATCGGCTCAAGAAAACGCCAGGCGAAGCAGAAAGTGTCGCACACTAGAATGAGTGGTTAACCGATCGATGGGAGAAAAAAGTTGGATGTTGGCTCCAGCCGCTCTGGCTGAAGCCAATGTGAGCCACGCTCGAGATGGAAGGGGCAACTGGGGCCACGCGCTTGCATGCCGTCGGTTAACCCGCAATGGTCCGCGGTGGCGGCAGCCGAAGCGGCCGCCCTTTGCCAGGATGGTGGCCGAGGCGGAGGCGGCCACGTGGTCGCTGCAGCGCGCCACGCCCCGCTCCTCGCCGAGCGCGGTGAGCCCGCCGTCCGAAGAAACCGACGAGAAGATCCTGGCGGTGCACCAGACTCCGCGGGCTGCACGGAGTGGGCGAGCCTCGTCGAGGTCCCGGCGGGGGGTGCTCCTCTGCGGCCCGCAGAGCCGTCGCCCTCTCACCCCAAGCACGAGCTACTCCCCTCCCCCGGCAGCGGTGCGCGGTGAGGCCGCGGAAAGAAGAGCTGGCCCGCCGCCACCGCCACAGAAAGCACCCGCGGGACCTCGCGGCCACCCAGCTGCGCCTGGCGGAGTCGGTGGCTCAGCGCCGCAAGCGCGCCCGCGACCTCAGAGTTGCCCTGCAGCGCCGCAGGTTGGCTCAGCGGATACCCGCAACCCGCTTCGAGCTAGCACCGGCGCTGCGCATCCGTGAGGCCCCGCCACACGATCCTGGGCAGGGACCGCCGTTGGAGCCGCTGCCGCACGAGAAAGCGCCTGAGAAGCCGCTAACGCCCGATGGAGACCCGCTGAAGACCGAGCCGTTCTAGGACGAGGATGGACGGCCGAAGACGAGGATGGAATCGTGACCCCTACTCAGCCGTTGCTCGCTCCCTTCCCAAGATCGTTCAAAGACGGGCCAAGTGGCCTCCAAGAGGACCCCAACACGGGCCAAACCATCATGATCCCGGAGAGCTCTCTTGGAATATGGTTGTCGTCACCGGTCCGATGAAGAGGACGAGGCGGAGGAGTTGGAGAGAGAAAGGAAGGGCGACGGCAGGAGATGGGGATGATAATGAGGATGACAAAAGAGGAGGAGGAGGAGGAGGAGGAGGAGGAGGAGGAGGAGCCAGAGGAGGAAGAGGAGGAGGAGGAGGAGGGCGGACGGAATGAGGAGACCGAGGGCGAATGTGGAAGCGCAACCCCTACTCAACCGCTGTTCTTTCCTTCCGTCCTGCCCAGGTCGCGCAAAGACGGGCTAACAGGCCCCCGATGGGGGCCTCAACACGAACCAAACTACCAATTTCCGAGAGAGCCTTCTGGGAGCACGATTGTCACCGCCATTGTAAGGAGGAGAAGATGAGGAGGAAAAGGAGGAGCAGGAACAGAGGGAAACGAAGGGCCGACGCAGGCGATGAGGATGAGAATGACGATACCAAAATGAGGAGGAGGAGGAGGGAAAGGAGGAGGAGGAGGGGGAGGAATGAGGAGGCCGACGACGAGGATGGAAGCGCAGCCCCTACTCAGCCGGTGTTCCTTCCTTCCTTCCAGTCTTCCTTTTCCAGATCGCGCTAAGATGAGCCACGAGGCTTTCAAGAGGGTCCCAAAACGGCCAGAACCATCCTGTTTCCAGAGAGCTTTCTGGGAACAGGATTGTCGCCGCCAGACCAAGGAGAAGGCGGGGAGGAGGTGAAGGAGGAGGAAGAGGAGAAGAGAAGAAGAGGAGGAGGAGGAGGAAGAGGAGGACGAGGAAGAGGAGAAGGAAGAGGAGGAGGAGGAGGAGGAGGAGGAGGAGGAGGAGGAGGAGGAGGGAGGAGAGGGTGGAAGACGAGAGGGAATCGGAGGGCGGAGGCAGGGGATGAGGACGAGAATGAGGATCAAAAAACAAGGAGGAGGAGGAGGGCGGACGCAATGAGGAGGCCAAGGACGAACATAGAATCGTTTTCTCATCCGCTGCCTCTTGTTTCCTTTCCCAGATCACCCAAAAGCGGGCCGAGAGGACCCAAAGAGGACCCCACCACAGACCAAACCATCATGTTCCCAGAGAGTTTTCTAGGAACCTGATTGTCGCTGCCAGTCCGAGAAGGAGAACTAGGAGGATGAGTTCCTGAGGGAGACGAAGGGCGAAGGCAGGTATGGGGATGATAATGAGGCTGACAGAGAGGAGGAGGAGGAGGAGGAGGAGGAGGAGAAGGAGGAGGAGGAGGAGGAGGAGGAGGAGGAGGAGGAGAAGGGGGGGGAGGAGGAGGAGGAGGAGGGGAGGAGGAGGAAGAGGAGCAGGAGGAGGAGGGCGGATTGCATGAGGAGGCCGAGGGCGAGTATGGAAGCGGAGGCCCCACACAGCCGCTGCTCCTCTCTGCCTTCCTTCCATCCTTCCTTCCCTTTTGCCGGTCCTCCCTCCTTGCTTCCCTCCCTCTCCAGCTTTCCCCCTCCAGTTTCTTTCTCTCCCTCTCCCCGTTTCCCCCTCGCACGACCACGACGACGACGACGGGGCGTCAAGAGGGCCCCAAGAGGGCCCCAAGAGCACCCCCACGACCCAGCTGCCTGCGACAAGTCCGGCCGCTGTGCCAGCCTAGCATTCTGGGTGGCGATTGTTCGACGGGGCGATGGAGACCGTCACGTGTGACACTTCGGGTCTCCAGACTTGGGAAAGCCGTGATGAAGATGATGGGGGGTGGTGACGAGGATGATGACGTCGTTGATGGTGATGGTGATGGGGATGGTGATTGTTGTGATGCTGATGGTGGTGATGATGATGATAATGACAGCGACGACGACGACGACGACGACGACGACGACGACGACGACGACGACATCGACGATAACGATGACGATGACGAGACGATGGCGCTGCTTATGATGAGGATGATGACAATAGTGATGATATTGATTATGATGATGGTGGGGATGACTACGGTGATGGTGATGATCAGGATGAGGATGAGGATGAGTATGATGATGAAGAAGATAATGATGAAGATAATGACGACGATGATGATGACGATGATGATGATGACGATGACGATGACGATGACGATGATGATGATGATGAGAATGATGATGATGATGATGATGATGATGATGATGATGATGATGATGATGATGATGATGATGGTGATGATGATGGTAATGGTGTTGGTGATGGTGGTGGTGATGATGGTGATGGTGATAGTGATGGCGATGGTAATATTAATATTAATAATGGTGATGATGCTGATGACGATGATGCTGATGATGATCATCATCATCATGATGATGATGCTGACACGCGTTCGGGTTGTCTTTGAGCTGTCTTGGCTCCGGTGAAGCAGTCTAGGGGTCTCATTGGGACCCTCTTGCCCCGTTTGGGGGCTCTCTTACGCCTGCTTGGGGCTCCCTTGGGTCGTCTTGGGGTCTTCTTGTCCATATGCTGGGTGTTTGGGGAAGGCGAGAAGGCGAAAAACATGTTTAAAACAAATGGAATGTCAATGATTGTGGCTTCTGTGGACCCTGTTGGAGGTTCTCTTGCGGCAACTTCGAGCCCTCTTGGAGGCGTCTTGGGCTGTCTTGAATCAATATTCAGCCGCCTTCAGACCATCTTAGGCAGTCGTCGAGGCATCTTGGGCCATCTTGGTATCCTTGATTGCCTGCACGGGCCGTCTTGGAAGCTCGAGACGCATATCCGTAGTTTTTTTGACGAAGGATCGTTGCTTGAGAGGCCTTGGAGCGCTTGGGAGCAGCGGCTGGGAATGCAGGAAGCGCACGATCCTCGAGCGGGCGCACGTGTGTGCCCAGGCTCATACAAAAAAAATTGAAAGGGCGTTTGAAACAGGAAGACACCATGACTGCAGGATCGGAGATGGAGAAGGGGAAGCTGGGGCGGCGCCGCCAGGGCGTGCCTAAGAGAAGGGGAAGAGGCAGGAGCTAAACGCAGAAGAATCTAAGATCGAGGTCGCACTCGAGCGCAAGTGGGGTTGCCACACCTTGCGATGTGTGTACCAGGGCCGCCCAGGAAACCTCAGGAGGCCCGACTTGGATACCAGAAGAGGCTCCAGGAGGCCCTGGGATTGTGAGTGTTGTGTGTGTGATGTGTGCTCTGTGTTGTGCGTGTTTTCTGTGCGTTGTAGGTGTTGTGTGTGTGTGTTATGTTTGTCTAGCGTGTGATGTGTTGGGTGTGATTTGTGTCTCTGTGTGCGCATGTAGTTCTGAGGCCCCAGGAGGCCCCAGGCGGCCCCAGGCGGCCTCAGGAGGCCCCAGAAGACCCCAGGAGGCTCCAGGAGGCCCCAAGAGCCTCCAGGAGGCCGCAGGAGGCCCCAGGAGGTTCCAGGAGATCCCCAGGAGGCTCCGAGGCGGGGTCTGGGGTACCAGAAGGTACAGAAAGCCCCAGGAGGCCCCAGGAGGCTCCAGGAGGCTCCCAAGAGGCTCCGAGGCGGGGTCTGGGGTACCAGAAGATACGTCGGGGCTCGATTTTGGGAGGATGTCTCAGGCGAAATCACCATTCTCTGAGAATGGGGGTCAACATCAATGAAATTACCATGTGTTTTTGAAGATTTTATGTTAGAATGTTGAAATTCCAATGTGTTTTTGGACCCTGACGTCACGATCTGAGTGAGGGGCGCCACCGATTTTCAGAATTTCGAGGATGTCCCTAGCGAAACGGCCAAAAGAATCGCGAACGCCGCCTTCAACTAATCGGCTCTGAGCTCTATTCCCTCGGAGAGGTGCGTATGAGAGTATACATATATATATATATATATATATATATATACAACACGCCTCCGATCAGCAATTCTGAGGTCCCCTGATCGGCCCCCGCAGCGGGCACATTGCTGTCGACATGGCGCACAAGCGCGCCGAATCGCCCCCACGAGGGGGTCTTGGGATCCCTATCGCCTCAACTCGCCCAGACGGGGGCCCGGAGAGTCAACAGGGGGGCCCCCGACGCGGGCCCGCACGTCTCCAAGATGGCTGCAAGAAGGCCCCAGCGACGCCCCAGGACGGCCCCGTGGTTGGCAGGACGGTGGCCCCAAATCACTCACGGAGGCCCCCAAAGGCGCCCTCAGATGCTCCAGGAAACGCTCACCGATCAAAGGGCCCGCTGTCTTGGGGCCCTCATGGGCCATCTTGGGGCCCTGTTGGGAGCCTCCGGTGCCGTCTTGGGGCGATCTCGGGGGCCTCGTGAGCCGTCGCGGAAGCGTCGGAAAGCCGAAAGGACGAGAAGGCCAAAAAGTCAATGACTGTTACCTCTTGGGGCCCTCTTGGGACGCCTGTTGGAACACTCTTGGGAAGTCTTCGGGGCCTCTTGGGCCGTGTTGAAGCCATCGTGGGCGTATTGGGGCACTCTTGGGCCTTCTCGGAGACATCTTCGGCTCTCTTGGGCGCTTTGGGGGCCCATGTTTGGCCGGCTGCGCTACCAGAGGACGCGCGCGACACGCCCGGGGAATCTTGGGGAACCCCCAAAGATCCCCAAACCCGCATTTTTTAAATGACAGAAAATTACGCGTTCAAAACTCGGCCACGCCAAGGCCCACCGCACGTCTGCCCAGCGTGTGCAAAATGGTTGGTGGCACGCGAATTTAGAACATGAACGAAACCAAAAATGAAATAGTATCGCGTTGGCCCGCCACCACCATTTTGTCCGAATGTGGGCTGGCGCCTTGTCAGCAAAAGGAGCACAAGGTATTAATCATCTTTTTCCCGGGAGATAGGCAACATGAAGACCGAACACGATTGCCATGTGATTTCAGGAGGTGTTGCCGCACGCTAGCCACCAAAACCTTGCCAAACCGAAAAAAATCCGGGCTTGCCACCACATGTACCTGCACATTGTCAAATCCCTTCAGATCAGCCTTCAGACGATGGTCGGGAGGAGAACGAGGAGACAGCAAGATGGGATGCTGGGGTATGTCAACGTGCTACGTGTACCAGGATACACGTCTTTACATGTATAGATATATCATGGTTCTGGCCTTTGGGGGGCAAGCCGTGTCATTGGATGCTGGGCACCTCCGTCCCTCTGTGCTGGTCGAAGTGGCTCCCATTGGAGTTCGGAGAACGCCCGTGACAGAAGGCACCCCGGGACGCCAAAGGAGCGCCGTCATGCCTAATCGGGGGGAGGTTCGGGGACAGCCCAAGACTCCATACATGTTGCCCCAGAATTCGCCAGAGCACCCATGGACCCACCCCGAAAGCCACAAATTGGTAAAGTGTGGTGTTGTGAATGTGTTCCGCTTCCTGCCCATCTCGGCCCAAGATGGTTCGAAGCGGGCTCGACACGGCTCTCAGATTGATTCACGGCGGCCAGAACGTTCCAAGATCATTCAAATTGCCCCCAATGTGGTCCCAATATCTCGCCAAGACGGTTCCAAGTCGGCCTTGAGCCATCCGAAGAAAGTTTTCAGCCTTAAGTTGGTTTGGGAGCGCCCCAAAGATGATCAGACCGTCTTCGAAGATGATCCAAAGCAACGCCAAAACCGCTCCAAGATGGCATGTTGTCCCCAGATTTACCTTATCTTCCCTCTCTTCTCCAACGTGTTCATTGTAATCTCATTTCTTGTATGTCTGTCTCTCATCGGGGGGAGGAGAAGAATTACGATAATGAGAGGGAGAAGGATATCAAAAGCGGAAATGTACGCGAGGGAGGAGGAGGAGGAGGAGTAGGAGAAGAAGGAAGGTGATGAGACGGAGGAGTGTGGACTAGAATAATATCGTTGCGTTTTGGCGTTCAGTTATCTCGTGGTTGAATTTATGCGCGCAGGGTTCTAAAGACGCCGGTCTTGCACTCGTTTATCGCGCATAAGGGTACGGATGATTGTCAGCGCGCACTACCCCTTGTTGCAGAGCATCATGTCGTTACGTGTGTACGTGCTATCGTGTGCACATGTTGCAGCAAAATTGCATCGCTCATCTTGCATTCTCGGCGCGTTCAATCAGTAGATTGCATGCTCAAAACGTGTGAGAGATCCAGGTGCCTGCAGCAAGTCCGGCCACCATGCCAGCACATCAGTCTGTGTGGCGGCCCCCCAGAGCTCCCCCAGGAGGCCGTCACATGTGACAGCTATCGCCCTTAGCTTCAGAAGATCGTGGCATGTGTCGCACTCTTCCGTCGATTCAAGAGGGAGTAACATGTGGTTGATGTTTACTTCTGCGCCCAGAGAATTGTAACATGCACGATTAGGAGGGACTTGCGACAGATTTGGAAGTACCAGGGCCGTCTTGCGGCCACTTTGGAGCCGCATTAGGCCAGTCTGGGGTGGTCATAAGTGTCTTCTAAGCGTGTCTTTGCGCAGTCTTGGGGTTCCCTGTGGGCGGCTCGGGAGGTGTTTTGGCAGCATCGCGCGTGGCTTCTTGCGGAAACAGGCACAGCGTTGTCAAAACACGTTACGTGTTTCCATTATTACGCGCTGGTGTCGCAGCGGGCAGCTCCCCCCGTGTTCAGTGCTAGGCCTGGTCCTGCCGCCCGCACCCACCTTACGGGCCCAGTATTTTGCTGGTGGCAGTCTGAAAACTAGAGTGCTCGTGGACTTGCCGCACCTTGTCAACCAGCCACCCACCTGCGTACCTCTATCGCACCGACGGCATCACTGCAGCACTTGCCTCCGCGTACTGGGCCCCGTCATCGCCCGTGAGTGCCCCGGCGTTGTGGCCTGGCTGCTGCCATGGTCCCCGCTGACGCGGTTGGCCGCGCCGGCACACTCGGGACGGAAGTTTTCCGCCTCTGAGTGGTTCCGCCTCCTTCCCCCCTCCGCGGCCGCTCTGCCCGTCCTCTTCATTATCCTGCACGCTGGCCGATTCGTTTTCCTGTGCCCCCGTTTAGCTTCATCGTTGGTGCAGCCATGCTGCCTCGCCGCCGACGGATAAGGCTTGAATTGTTGTAACGTCCCATGGGTATACTGGAAAGCCTTTTTGTTCACAGGTTCCTTGAAGCCTTTGGAGCGCCTTTTTTGGTACGTGGGGGTCTTCTTGAGGGCTATTGGAGCCGTTTTCGGACAGCCAAAATATGATATTGCCGACTTTGGCCGCATTGTTGGGCTGTCTTGGAAACCGCTTTCAGCAACCCGGTGGCGATGGACATCGCCACGGGGGTGTCGGGGAGCCGAGGAGAGTTCGGGAGGGGGGTGCATGCAGTCGGATGCTAACAAGGACGGTTTGAGAAGCACGAGCCCAGCCGGGCAGCCTTGGCACTAGACCGTTCCACTACGCGCCTGGGGGCACGGTGGCAGTATTCCCCGGCTTGGTTGATCGTGAAGCAGTGTGCGTTCAATGGTTCCCTTTCTGAGGTCTGGACGAAACTGCTTCTATCCTATGTGTCCCGCTCCCGATGGATTTTGCGAGGGCGCGTGGCCATTACTTTTGGGGGGCTCGACCACAAGCGCCCATTGTGGGGGAACACCGACAAGGTGCCGAATTGTCTCAGGCCCGCCACAGATGCACTGCACTGCGCATGCCAGACAGTTTGTTGGAGTCGTCCGACGAAGAGTGTCCAGGATACAGTAACAGTTGGAGCCGTCTGGGGGTCTGAGGTGGCCCAGCACTGGTTCCTGTCAGCAGGAAGGGCGGGCGGGCTCGAGTTTCTGAGTTCGGGTGGCTCGGTCTCTGGGGGCCTTGTTCGGGCCCCGTGACCGTGAGCACGGATTTGGGACCCCATGAGGGTCTGGGGATAGATTTTGACCATATCTGGTCATCCCCTTCTTCCAAGGTCCAAACCAGTTTGAGAGAACCCCGGCTGCCTCCAAGTCCGACGAAGAGTGTCCAGGATTCAGTCACTGGCCTTTCTTGCGAGCCCCTTCATTTTCATCGGAGCTTCCACCGTGAAAAGGTTCAACGCGCTGGGCAGCGGCATTGGTAGCCTCGAGCAGTCCACCGCGTTGAACGCGACGAATGGGGACGATAACAGCAGCCCTGAGACCAAACGGATGACCACACAGGCGGGCACGTTTGATGTTTTGCGGTTGCCCGATTGTAGATGTGGGTTGTTCTTCGAGGCACCCACATGTACAAAACCTTTTGAACAAAGTGATAGCCCAGCCAGCGTCGGCATCATGTCGCAACGCGAATGATTAGGTTTGGTTGTTGACTAGTTTTGATGTGGCTCGGCCATGGAAGATTCGACTCGTATGTTCCCCAGCACAGCGCTTGCACTTAGGGGTTATCAGTTGCGTTCTACATGATTGGATGGGCTTGCTGGATGTTTGCCCCGTCGCCGCCAGTGGGCGCTTCGTGGGCGCTTTGCGCGCTGGCTGGGTGTGCCAGATTGTTCGTCCTGTCACTGCCCGTGGGTGCATCTTGGGCGCCCTGTGCGTTGGTTGGCGTTTCTGCCTGTGTCTAGATCATCAGAATCGACCCCCATGCCGAGGCAAGACTTACGCGCCCACCGCTTCGCATTGTTTTCTTCTGCGCTCAGCACGATCGTTCACTAGAAATATCAGGCAGTAGCATGCGCAAGCGACCAGTATCGACCCCCCCCATCCCCCCTCACCCGGGCCCAATAATATACACGCTTGCACAGATATGATATGTCTGACCAACATGATCGTCGTCCCTCAGTTGTCAGCAACATCAGTCGAACAAGCATTATTTATCCAGCAAGATGCCTGATTCCTGAGCGCGCGCACTCGCTGAAACCATAACTGGACATCACTGAGGCGTAGCTGTTCTGCCATTTCGGCCAAGTGAGAGCACAAGGGCCGCACGAGCGCGCATGCCGAAAACATTCAACAATCACCCCGGACTCGCCAAATCTGTCGAAGTCGTTGCACAGTCATTGTTGCTCTAAGCGCCTCAACGAGTTCAAAGGCAATTGAATAGCAACTGTTTTGCAGTGGACAATATGTCGAAGATGATGCGCGCGCATTCGCCATCATCATCATCATCATCATCATCATCATCATCATCATCATCATCATCATCGGAGACAAAGCCATCATCATTGCCAGCATCATGTTTCTCATCGCCAGTATCAGCATAATCGTCATGACCATCACCAACGTAGTCATCATCATCACCATCATCGGCATCACCGTCGTCATCGTCGTCGTTGCCCTCGTCATCCTCGCCACCACCGTCATCAACATAATCTTCTTCTGCATCTGCATCATCATCATCATCGCCTCATCGCTGTTGTCACCGATTGTGCCATTACCATCGTCTCTCGCCCGCCCGAATCAGCAATCTGCATGAGCAAGGTCCGCGCGCCTTTACGCTTGTTGGCATTTGCCAGCAAGTTCCGATGGGTAATTGCACGCACGGCTTCTTGAGCTTTGCCTGCAAATTGCGGGTGGGTGTGTGGGATGTTTCCCGAACATGGAAATAAGTCACGCGGGGATGCCCACTGTTGGTTGCACACGGAGCTTTTTTCAAAAAGCATTAGACTCTACCCCACCCCACCCCGCCCACCGAAGTTGGCATAATCCGCCCGCCTCCGCGCATTGTTTTGGTCATGTTGATCTTGCACGATCGTTCCAAGTAATATTATTTTCGGCCAGCGCAGTATCGACATCCCCTCCAGCATCTTCAAAGCCTACAATGTTGTGAGTAGGTGTTGATCTACGAAGTGAGCTTTGCAACAACCACAGAAGGTGCTACCGTACGGCCCACTTGCTCGTGCACCCGGCGCGTACATGCCAAAATCGTTCAAAAGTTAGCCGTTCCCCAACTCTTTCGAAACATGGTGTTCAAGCGCTTGTGGTTTGACGTAAACGTGCCCGATCTCTGCGTGCGCTCAATTGCTGAAATCCTACGAAAAGAACCGCTGAATGGCCATTCTTTCAAAGTAGACCATGCGGGCCGCAAGCTCGCGGACGTCGACAAGATTCAACAATCATCACGCTCCCGCCAATTGCGCCAAATGATACACAATTCGGGCCACACGCGCGCATCTCCGCACAGGCACGTCGAAATCCATTCAACACCATTGGTTCTTCAAGTATCCTATCACAAGCGTCAAAAATCAGCTGACAACACACAAGTGTGTCAATGATCATTGTGAAGGCCTTACGGCCGGTGCCGCCGACCCAGAACGCACCCGGCGCGCACATGCCAAAATCGTTCAAATGCTAGCCGTTCCCCAACTCTTTCGAGACATGGTGTTCAAGCGCTTATGGTTTGACGTAAACGTGCCCGATCTCTGCGTGCGCTCAATTGCTGAAATCCTACGAAAAGAACCGCTGAACAATCATCACGCTCCCGCCAATTGCGCCAAATGATACACAATTCGGGCCACACGCGCGCATCTCCGCACAGGCACGTCGAAATCCATCCAACAACATTGGTTCTTCACGTATCCGAACACAGGCGTCAAAAATCAGCTGACAACACACAAGTGTGTCAATAATCATTGTGAAGGCCTTACGGCCAGTGCCGCCGACCCAGAACGCACCTGGCGCGCACATGCCAAAATCGTTCAAAAGCTAGCCGTTCCCCAACTCTTTCGAGACATGATGTTCAAGCGCTTGTGGTTTGACGTAAACGTGCCCGATCTCTGCGTGCGCTCAATTGCTGAAATCCTACGAAAAGAACCGCTGAATGGCCACTCTTTCAAAGTAGACCATGCGGGCCGCAAGCTCGCGGACGTCGACAAGATTCAACAATCATCACGCACCCGCCAATTGCGCCAAATGATACAATTCGGGCCACACGCGCGCATCTCCGCACAGGCACGTCGAAATCCGTCCAACAACATTGGTTCTTCAAGCATCCTAACAGAAGCGTCAAAAATCAGCTGACAACACACAAGTGTGTCAATAATCATTGTGAAGGCCTTACGGCCGGTGCCGCCGACCCAGAAGGACGACAACGACGACCACGACGACAACGACAACGACGAGTTGTCGACCCTTCCACAGGCTCAGAGCATGGGGCGGGTGGTGGAGGGAGGAGGAGGAGAAGGAGGAGGAGGAGGAGGAGGAGGAGGAGGCGGAGGGGGAGGGAGAGGGGGAGGGGGAGGGGGAGGGGGAGGAGGAGGGAGGAGGAGGAGGAGGAGGAGGAGGAGGAGGAGGAGGAGGAGGAGGAGGAGGAGGAGGTAGAGGAGGAGGAGGAGGAGGAGGAGATGCAGGGGGAGGAGGAAGAGGAGAAAAAGGAGGAAGTGAAAGAGGAGGAGGAGGAGGAGCAGGAGGAGGAGAAGGACTTCGGGGGTGGGCCCGGGCTGGGGCCGGGTCTGGGGCCAGAGCTGGGGCCCTGGCCTGGGCCAGGGCCGAGGCCGGGACCAGGGCCTGGGCTGAGGCCCAGCCTGGGGCCGGGGCCGGAGCCGGGGCCCAGGGCTTTTGCCCAGGCCGGGCACGGTGCCAGGGCCGGGGCTGGGACCAGGGCCGGTGCCGGGGCTGGGGCCAGGGCCGGAGCCAGGGCCGAGGTGGGGGGAGCCGAAGACCTTCCCCCCGTCCCCCCGTCCTCTTTCTCCACAAGGGAGACCGCCCGGGGTATGATCAGGACCACCGGGACTCATCCCCAGGACCCCTGGGCATCTGGGGTGACAACCCCCCCAGCACCCATTTGGGACCACCTCTTGGGAACCCCCCTTGGGACACCCCCCCCCCCAGGGACCCGCTCCCCCCTCGAGCGGGAAGGGACCAAAGGGAAAGAGTTCTGTTCGATGTCGTAGGGGTTGGAGTGTTGGTCGGGAGCTCCACGTACCCTCTCGCTCCAGTTGTTGGTTAGGAGCCCCCGGGAAGGAGGAGGATAGCGACGGCGACGACAGCGACGACGACAACGAACGACGAACGGAAAAGCGTCTCTCACACGCCGATAAGATCGGCGGATTCACTGCGTGGAACTCACCATATGTCATATGTGCAAATATTTGCATGGGCCTTTCCGTCGTGAGTGTCGAGGCGCAAAGGACTTCGAACATACACGAGCTTGAGTATGTTGATAGGCTGGGAGTGAGTCTGATTGTGAATGAGTTGGAGTGTGAATGAATCTCAGTAGTACGAGTGAGTCTATGCGCATGAGCTTGGGGCATCCTGGGGCCTCCTGGGGCTTCCTGGAGCCTCTTGGGGCCTCCTGGGACCTCTTGGGGATTCCTGTGGCCTCCTGAGGCCTTCTGGGGCCTCGTGTGGCTTCCTGGTGCCTCCTGGAGCCTGCGGGAGCCTCCTGGGCCCTACTGGGGGGGGACCTCGTGCCCCAGGAGAGGCCCAATCTACAGACGCATACGTAAAACATTTAGAACTGGAGCCACAGGAGCGGGGCAATATATTGGAACACGCGTACAACACCAAGGATTCCTGCCCCAGGGAGGCCCAATCTATAGAAACAGACGTGAAACGTTTAGGAATGGACACGCAGAAGAAGGACCATATACAGAAGCATACGTAAAACACAAAGGATTCGTGCCCCAGGAGAGGCCCAATCTATAGGAACATATGTAAAACACCAGGGAGGCCTCCTGTGGGGCCTCCTGGGGCCTGCTGGTGCTTCCTGGGGGCTCCTGGAGCCTCTTGGACCTCCTGGAGCCCCCTGTGGCCTCCTGGTGCCTCCTGTGGCCTCGTGTGGCCTCCTGGATCATACTGCAGCTTCCTGAGGCCTCCTGGAGCTTCCTGGGGCCTCCTGGGGCCTCTTGGGGCCTCCTGTGGACTCTTAGGGCTTCCTGTAGCATCCTGAGGACTCCTGAGGCTTCCTGGGACTTCCTGGAGCCTGCTGGAGCCTCCTGTGGCCTCCTGGCGAGGATCGGTGCCCACGAGTCTGGCCATTAAAACAAGCAAACCGCTCGAGACATTTTCGCAAACTGGGCCCCCAGGGGTGCGAAAACCAGCGCCTCGCCCGAGACATCCTCAGAATCTGCTCCGAAAGCGGAGAATGATGAGCATGTACGCAGGCCCCGCAATTTGGGCGCGAACGGAGGAGTGCAGTACCTTTTTGGCGGCCCCCCTTTGGGGGAGAAAGCCAGCGCCTCGCCCGAGGCATCCTCAGAATCTGCTCCGCCATCATCATCATC